TGCCTTATTGAGACTACGACTAGCATAGGCTACAGGCCTTCCGTCACTATTGCACAAAACTGCCCCTACGCCGTATCCTGACACATCTGTTCGTAGAATAAATTGATTACATTCTGAAAAATCAGGATACTGTAATACGGGATGAGATGTAATATTTGATTAATCATTTCTTCAATGATCCACACAAATGGGTTAGATATAAACACTCTACCATTTTTTCAGGAACTAATGACTTATAAAAGTTAAAAGCATATGATTTAAAGGTTCTATGAATATAAAACCGCACATATTACATTTCATTTTAAGATGAACAAAACAAAGAACATAATCTAATGCAACGGTATCATAACATTAAAAAACAACAGATTAAAAATTTAGTAGTTGGAATTAGTGCAATCTTTGACAAGTTATACTAATATACTTATAAGATGTTTTTTAAAAATTCAAGTGAAATGTATCTGAAAATTATATTTTAAACACTTTTTAATTTATTGTATATTGGGGGGGAAATAGATGCGAAGGGGAGGTGTGGCGAAGCGGCAGTTGCAGACTTCGGCACGGTGTCTGTGTGCGTGCGACTAGACGTATGCGTGTACATTAGCTGCTAACTCAATGATAAAAATTCCTGAATAACCTACATGTATTGTAAGATATTAAAAATATTTTAAACAATATTAACTTCTCATTTATTCAATAAGAGAAAAATAATTGTTTTCTTATCGGTCACCACGCTCAAAAAGTGTAACTTGATTTAATATCAAAGACTTAACTGCATAAATAAAATAAATAAATAATTATAATTGTATAAGTTGATAAAAAATGCTATGCAATAGCTTTACCGCGGCAGTCACCGAGTGCCACACGTATTTTTATAATACATTTACATACAAAATGTATTTATTAAGTTATTTATAATAATCAAAACTCATTTACTACTACTTATTTTAATATTTCAAGACTTCATAGAAAAATGTTTATCTTAATTGAATACAGAGTTTAAAAGATAAAATTAAGTTTAATAAAGTTAATTTTAAAGTTATAACAAAATATTAACATTTGAGAAGAGAACTTTTTTTTAAAATAAATAGATTATAAAGAAATAAAGATATATAGAAATAAAGAGAATAGATAACATAATTTTAGGTTTCGCTGTGAAAGAAAGAAAAAAACTATTACATTACCAAGCTTATAACACACTTTGGATTTGATTTTAGTAAGGATTTAAATGTACAAATTTTACATAAATCAAAAAGAAACATAACATAAAAAGAAATTTAGGGTAGAGTTATTGTAACTATGAATCAATGTGCCTAAATATGGAAAAAAAAACCTTGTAAATTCATGTAAATCTACGTGAAAATATATTTATTACATTTAATTGTATTACTTGTAAGTAGCATTTTGAATAGCATTGTAGGTACCCTAATACAGAAATGCAAAATAACTACATAATATCTTACTTTTTATATTTGTTCGGAGATCCCCTTATTAGCCCATTTTAATTATTCTCGTGTCCTTGCATGTTAATTACATTCATGCTAATACTACTCTCATATCCTTTGTTTTCGATTGTCAGGCCTCTTTCTTTTATAACTCCTGTACGTATTTTCTTTTATTTCTTAATTTTTTGACATTTAGCTAGCTTTATTTGTTTTAATATTCTATTCAATCATATATTCATTTATTAATTAGATACCGGGAATCGGAGTATTAATTCACTTCATTTATATTTTATTTCATGATATTTATCATGCGGGTACTTTATACACATACATATGGGCCCCCCATTTACTTGGGTATTATAATTATTTTATTTTATTAGTACATATTTTTTAAGCTATTGCATAGCTTCTATCGCGGGCCTTGAGCGCGGGGACCGAATCCAGAAATTCCGTAACGAGAAAAAACCTCACGCTCCCCACTCCGACGGGCACGGAGGTGTGGCGTTGAAAGCCGTGCATCGTCTAACGTCGTTTCAGTTCGGCAGACTTCGGCACTCGACAGAGTTCGGCACGGTGTTTGTGTGCGTGCGACTAGACGTATGCGTGTACACTAGCTGCTAACTCAATGATAAAAATTCCTGAATAACCTACATGTATTGTAAGATATTAAAAATATTTTAAACAATATTAACTTCTCATTTATTCAATAAGAGAAAAAAATATTGTTTTCTTATCGGTCACCACGCTCAAAAAGTGTAACTTGATTTAATGTCAAAGACTTAACTGCATAAATAAAATAAATAAATAATTATAATTGCATAAGTTGATAAAAAATGCTATGCATTAGCTTTACCGCGGCAGTCACCTAGTGCCACACGTATTTTTCATACTGTATCAAGGTAATAGTGTACCTTGGGTTGTGCGCACAACCTTGAGGTCTTCGTTTTTTAAGTCACTTTTAAAGGAATCCAACAATTGTCACAGAGGAAAACCATGTTCGCACCATGATCCAACGAAGGACGTGACCTCAATGTACCATTATTAAGGGTAACAAATTTAAGACTTCTCTGGTCCCTAACATTACTAATATGAGTAAACTCATGTACCTACATCACTTGTACTGAAGGCGTTGTTCCCTAGTACCCATAATTCCTTATTTTATCATCCTATCACGGAAGCATACCCTGCTTGAGGACTATATGCTTTACCAGTGATGGACGTTCCCGTATCTCTCCATTACTTATTTATTAAGGTCAACTTTTGTTTGATTTCCATTTATTTTTATATATTGTATACTATTTTATTGATCATTATTTAGTTGTCCCATAAAATTTCACGTACACGGCTCGCGTACATTCATGATCAAGATTATGGACAATATTTCTATACAATTCATGATAAATTCTCATTTCGTCCTTAAAAATACATTAAAACTGATCCGCTTTTTATAGAATCAACAACCTTAAAAAATTTAATCGTTATTAGTTTTTCCAAACTCTCAGCTGATCAGGCTGTATGTGGATATGCTAATCACCGACAATTTTCTTTATCTATGTCACTCAAACCTGCAACATTATCAACATTTTTCATTTCTAATTATGTATTCTGTTACTTATTCCTAACCTCGTAAAGCCCAAGGTGTGAACAACTAGATGAGCTAAACGCCCAATGTGCAATACAATGCACAATATCTTGTTATACCGTTGCGGCCCACGCAAACAAAACGATTTTTTTTTGTGATAACCCCAACTAGAATTTTTTGTATAATTTTTCTGGGTATTATATTGTAGTAAAGAATAGAATAAAACTATTTTTGAGTTCTTAGCTCGTTGTTCATTCAAATGTACATTGGGAGTTTATGAGAACTAAAATTATTAATAAAATAAACTTTGTAGAATATACGTAATTCTCTATTATCACAATAACTGTATCGATGTGTCAAAATTTATTTTGAACATATCAATATAACTAAAATTATGAATCTTGGCAACAATGAAACTAACAACAAAACACTTATAACAAATCAACAAAAAAAAATTACTTAACATTAAGATAAAACCAAAATCTTAATGTCCATCCACTAACCATTTTCACGCTGACTCTTCACTGTTATGGAAGTCGCTATAACAGTTTCTTACTTTTGTAAGGCATAAGTTGACACCGCAGGCTCTACATTTGAACTGAGTTCTATTGTAATGGCAGTGACGGCATCTACCCACCTTTTCCGCTAAAAAGGGTAAATGTTTAGCTCCGACCGTACGGAACTTTTTGCTTGGGACAGGAATGAATGCAATGCTCCTCTTTCTTTTCAATGAGGGTCGGTTAGTACTATCCCCGTCAGAAACAGTCAAAAGTGATGGTTCAGCATTTGATTCAATAAAAGTCTCTCCCAATTCCATCTTAAAAGCTCGCAACTGTTGTATTTTCTTTACAGGTACAAGAGATTTTATCTGATCCTTTTTATACTGAAGCCAAGAGTTGTTGATTGCTAAATCAATCATAGATGAAAAGAACCGTTGTGTCCACTTTCTGGTCCTATATCTATACGGACACACTGCCAAAAGGCGGTCTGCAAGATCCACTCCTCCCATTTTCTGATTATACTCTCTCACTACTCGTGGTCGCGGGATGGTCACGTAAACTTTATTTTTTTTACACCACCGTCGACAATTATCAACTTCATCCTTTGCCTCCACAGAAGATAAAAGCAAAACCGGTTTATTATCGTACCATTTTGTGAAGGCTAATTTACCATCATTCCGGACTAAAACTTGACTGCTTCCTCGTCCTTGAGTCATTAATTCTTTGTCATCAATCAGTAACGAGCGTACATCAGCAGGAATCCGATTTTTCATAATAGTTCCCGTCCCTCTAATTCCTTTTATTTCCAGGGCGTCCAATAACTTCTCGGAAGTGAAGTATCTGTCGAAGTAAATTACGTGTCCAGGTACCAAAGGCTCTGTCAGAGTAAGGACAGCCTTTTCACCTAGTCCAAAATGTTCGTAGTTGGCATAGGTAGTTTTTCCTTGATATATATGAAAATCACATACAATACCGTCTGGGTTGGCTAATACAAATGCTTTTAAGCCAACCGGATTAGGCTTACCTGGACAGTACTGCTTGATCGCGCAAGATCCGGTAAATGGGATGATCATCTCATCTAATGAAAGGCACTGATCTTTCTGTTGAGTTTGACATCCAGCCTGAATTCGATTGATTAGGGGACGCATCTTCCATAATTTGTCCTTATCTTTCATTGCGGGGGTAACTTCAGTGTCGAAAACCACTTTCAAAGAATTTCTCAGCAAGAAAAATCGGTTTCTGGACATATTATCAGCAATGAGGGGTACTCTCCATTTAGCCTCCCAATACATCCGTAAATTAGGGTAATTGATAGCCGCCATCAAAAATGATATTCCTAAGTAAATGTAAAGTTCTTTATTTGTTAAGTTCAAACTACGTCCTGTTTTTTCTACTGCAGTTTGATTAGTTTTCGTTACTATGAGATTAATAAGCTGATCATCTATGTATTGTTTCACATAGTCAGTCTTATCAAACCCTACCGTGTCAGTCCACAAATATGCTGGTTGCATCAATTCAGGAAAACGAGGGTGGAAATCTTTAACACTCCAATTACCTGAAGATGTTGTTCCGCGCTCCGAAGGAGAGGAGAGAAGAGGAGAAGCTTGATGGTTTGCTCTGCCTCCACCCCTTACTCGTCCTTTTCCACGCTTTCTTCCACGTCGTCTTCTTTTCTTTTGGGAGTTTTCCTTATCACTTTCAGGTTCGGAGGAAGAATCTCCCGAGTATGATGTTGAAGGTATAGATACACTTACGTGGTGAATTGACCACTCGGGGTCACCTACGTCTACGTCAGATGGAATGAAATCTTCAATTTCTGAAGATTCCAATAACTCCTCGATTTCTTTATCGTCGAGATCTAGAATCAAAAAATTGCAATTGATAACATAAACCCAATACCACAACACACCATAATATGTAACAATACAATAAAACCCAATGTGCAACAAAATGAACATCAGTTTTTGTAAAATAATATAAAATACAAATTGAGTTCTTTGAAACAAAAAAATAATTGTTTCATGAAAATAATATGTTAATTCTCAATTTTATTTTATTTTCATAAAAAAATAGTATCAGATTGTATAAATTAATTAAGATTTATACTCACGTGTATGCAGAATCGGCGGCATGCTTGCAAAAATGATTGAATTTGACAGATTGTCTATGTATTTATCCCAAATGTCATGTGTCAAATTTTGTTCTAGTGAGTTATCAGGTCACCTCGTACACAGAAGTTTACGGTTGGCGCGAAAATTAAAAAGCAAAATGCATACAAGTATAATGTACATTGTATTGTACATTGTGCGTTTAGGAGAAGATTGGTTTTAAAAGTCTGGGCTGTAATTATATACGTTATTTTGTACAATAAATTGTACAGTGGGCCTTACGAGGCTAAATTTACTGATATATTTTACAAATTTATGTAATATAGTCTTATATAGTATTTAGGTATATCATTTATAGTCAGAGAATGAGGCTCACAATATCAGCACAACAAAATTTAAAGAAAATAAATTGTATACATAAGAGGAGTTTCAAAAATCATCTACACCAAGAAATTACTTCATAATACTCACAAGTAAGTATTATTTTTCCTGAAAATAATAAATTAGAATAGTTTAAAAAAACTTCAAATTTTCAAACAATATAAAACCGAAAATAAATGAACACATTACATGTTAAAATTAACAGAACAAAGAAATAATAACGAGAACATAAGATATCATCAGCAGCATAACAACAGACAGATCAAAATACTTACATATTGTAATCCTAGCAGCGAAAGCAATTAGAGACACCTGTGTTTGAAATGCATAGGTGTATTGGAAACGTTTGCGATAACATCGAACTGTGATTACGTTGTGATTCACACCTAATTTTAAGAAAACTTGTAAAATATGTATATTTTAAATTTCTTATTTATACAGAAGTCCCACATAGTTACATCGTTATATCACTTTTATATAATTCGAAAATTATTACTAGAAATATGTCATTTATTACATCGTGTACACAAAATAATTAAAAATCACTATAACAGCTATCAACTTTACACAACGATACAATAATTTATTTATACATTCAAAAGAACAAATTTTAACATTTTAAGTAAGTTATTATATAAATTTAAGATTTAATGCCTTTAGGAAAAAAATAAAACATAAAATGATAGTGAATTATTTATAACCCTTTGTAAAATTTGGATTTGGAAAAAAAATCAACGAAATGTTTCACAGTGTTATTTCAAATGAAGTACGTAAAATTGGAATCTATTATTTTATTATTTCATTAATTTTTTGGCAAGACACAGTAATAAAATAATATAAAACTGTAACTGAATAAAAAGGAATATTTTAAATCGTCTTGCGCCTTAATAGAAGTGCCACATAAACGCTTAAAATGTAACTTAATTTTTAATATTGTATTATAGATGTGATTACATTTTTTTTAATTGTAGGTAATAAAAATATTAAATAATCAATTGTATCGTGAATTATCTGATAAATAATTTAATTTCAACTTAATCATATGTTAAATACAAAATATTTAATATTTAACTTTAAAACATAATAGCAAAAAGAATATAAAAGGAATCTCAAATTGATAAATAAATTTTTAAATAGAATTAAAATCACATAGGTGCGAAGTTACCTCATAACTTTGTTCTGTATTATTTGGGCCCAGGCGTCTCGGCTACGCTGCTGCTGGTTGCTGGGACCACTCGCTGGACTACAATTTCTTCTATTCTTCGTAATTGGATGAAATACTTTTATCTTCAAACATTCGGTATTTTCAATCAAAAAATTTTATCATCATTCTTTGTTAGTTTTCTTCGTAGTACTAACATACTATTTAATTTTTCAGTCAGCTTCCATAAAATATAGTTACTGTGGCCTCTTCTCGTATTTGAGATATTATAGTTTTCTTGATTTCAGTGAATTTTTCTTTATATCCGTGAGTGTCTCGATTCGGTAATTGAATTATATTATTGATTCATTATTAATTTTTTCAATAAATTTAGCCGGCCGCGGCGGTGCGCTGCGACAATGCACGCGCACCGCCTGGCAGGGTCGCCATGTAATGTGGTGACACGAGAGAGAAATGAAAACAAAGACTGCTGAGTAAATACTGAATATATTTGCAATCATCAATCCTTAAATAATTACAATTAGGTTACATTGTGTATATGTTTATATGTAATATGCTTATATCTATTCCTTACATCTCACTTTTCAAAAGTCTGCATCCCTGACGGATGATTAATAATTATGCTCAGTTTCCTTTAATTAAAAAAATATCCCATTTCCTTCTGGAATAAACAGGCTATTTTCATGCTTTCCTATACGCTGCGATCCAAAACATTTAAATAGGCTGACAAATCAATTTTTCTCAGTTTCCTTTTAATGGCTGCATCTCTGACAAATCTATAAAACTCAGTTTTCTTTCAATTCAAAAAGCAATGGATAGTTCATTTCCCAGTGACCATGTGGACGAAGCCGCGGATAACAGCTAGTTAAGAAATATTTGAAGCAATATAATCACCACATTGAACTTTTGCAAATTCATCCCTTTAAAATAAACAAAACGCGCGTTTCGTCAGTTCGTTCTAAACGAAACGGGACAATGGCAGCCAGAGATGCGTTACCTTTTTTGGGCCGGTCCGCCATTTTGTTTTCATTCGTGTTCGGATAGCGCTTGCGTGCGTACGTCTCGGGTAATTCATAGCATACACTGCATTGTTTTAGTTGAGTTTCTCCTGTTAAATTTGTTATATCGTTAAGTTTTTGTTGTTGAATCTCGAAATTGTTTTACTGTGAAGGTCGTTACTAAATCAACATGAGTTCAGGAGAATGTGGTGAAGGACCCGGTCCTTCAACGTCAAGTGGAAAGAGACGTCGCCGACCCATAATAAACGTAGCAGGTACGTACAAATAGGTAAAAATGCTTTGCGCTCTTTTTATGTGACCATGTGGTATTTATTTTCTAAAACAATATTCATTTATGTTGTGTAGTATTATGGTAGTATATTTTTGTCATTTATTTACAGGCCCATCTTCTGGAGCACCTTTAACGTCACCAGTAAAGAAGAGAAAACCTACCACTTTGTCGGTCGGGGAACAAGAGATAAGCATTAATGTATACAAATATGTCAAAAACACCTGTCCCGAAGACGTGTATGCCTGACGAGGCAATAAACAGAATAAATGAGGATCTCCATAATATCCAAACCTGGTCCCGAAAAAATTCTCTAGTATTAAACGCAACTAAATCACAAGTACTAGTTTTGGGCACAAAAAACCAAATAAAAACTATTTTAGACAGCGAGGAAACGATTAAAATAGAAGATGAAACCTTGACACAAGTAAGTTCCGCTCGTAATTTAGGGCTTATACTAGACGGAGAGCAGAAATTTGTAGAACACATCAATAACAAGATAAGAAATTCGTACTTTAAACTTAAAACTTTATACAAAATAAGACCGTATATTAAAGAGGACCTACGCTTTCTCTTGTGTGACTCATTGGTGTTATCACAATTGAGCTACTGCAGCTCAGTCTTTGGCCCTAAATTGTCAGCTAATACCGAAAGAGCAATACAGAGAGTACAAAATGCATGTGTTCGATACTGTTGTAATGTACCAAGAAGACAATTTATAACCCCATACTTAAATGAAAAAGGCATACTCAATATGGGCGCGAGGAGAGAATTACACTATGCTTCGATAGTCCAAAAGGTAATTTGGAACAAAAAGCCAGAATACCTTTTCGAAAAACTCATTTGGATCAAAGATATTTCCTGTCGAAGTATTCGTTCTCACACACAAATGCTCCTCCACACACCCGCACACAAAACAGCAAGATATAGAAGTTGTTTCAAATTCACTGCAGCGAGAATTTGGAATGACCTCCCTCCACCCATGAGAAAAAAAATGTCAATAGATTGCTTCAAAGCCAAGTATAAATTGGCTCTGTTAAAAAGACAACTCGCTGCAGAGAATTTGAAACATCCCTATGTTAAGTTTTTACATTTACGGGACTTTTTTGTCAAAAATTAATAAGGATACACACACACACACACACACACACACACACACACACACACACAAACACACACATACACTCAAATAAGTTCAAAGAAAGGAAGGTTTATTTTATATTTTCTATTTCTCGTGTTGTTTTTGAATCTGTTGTTAGTTCATTTCGTAATGGTTGTTTTATGCATATTTTTAAATGTTTTTATTTTGTCTTTAATGTTTTTAATCTTTTTTTTGTATTTGCGATTTAATATTTATATAATATTTTTTTAATTAAAAAAATATTTTATATTGATATAATATTTAATTACTTTGTACATAGCTTAAAAGTATAAGTCAGGTAAATGGGGAGCCTGCTACTTTGGACTCCCGCACAACACCTCAGGGAGGAGGGAGCGGCTGAAAAACAGCTCTGTATGAGATCTGTATCTCGTTACAGACAAAGCTGAGCCGTCTCCTTTTGTCTCAAATAATTATAATGTTCTTTTGTTTTTAACGTGAATGTAACTGTGTGTTTTAGAGGCAATAAAATTTATTATTATTATTATTATTATCCTTCAAACGTTATACTGGTAGAAAAGGTTTTGGAGATCTCAGAAGTCGCAAGTGCACTATATATCGAGATCGAAAACCCCAAAAATGTCTTGGCGGAAACAAAATATGGAGGAATAGCTAGAATCCAAACAGATCGCATACGTGCCCTCGGACACAAAGACCCACTTAATGGAAAAAATAAAGGCAGTTAAAGATAACTATCGAAGTTACGTCAACGACGAGATGGCACAAGAGATAGGCATCACAGTGGTAAGGTAACCTCCTTATCACTGTGAGCTTAACCCCATTGAACTTGTGTGGGCAGATGTGAAAGGGTACGTTGCACGAAAAAATACAACTTTCAAGTTAACAGATGTTAAAAATTTACTTAAAGATGGTTTAACTCTAATCACGCGAGTTAAATGGAAAAACTGTGTTCAGCATGTCCTTAAGGTTGAACAAAAAATGCGTGGCATGGATGATAGAATTGACCAAACTGCAGATTGCTTTATAATTAATGTTACAGACAGTTCATCTGAATACAGATCAAGTGAAGATACGAGTGATGTTGCACCGAATAAAAATAAAGTTCTTATATAATATTGAAAATATAGTTTTATCTTTTGAATAACTACGTACTTATTCGGTGTCGTTATCACTCGAATCTTTATATGTGTTATAAATTAATGCTTTTTGTTGTAAATGAATAAAGTACTTTATAACAATAGATGATTTTTCTTCTACAGCGATCTTTTACATAACTTTTTAATAATAGTTATTTATGAGCTATTATTAAATATATATTATATCAATCATTATAAAAAATAATCAATATAAATAAAGAAAGTACTACATACAAAATGTGCCTATATATTGAAGGTTTGTAACCCCTGGTTAAACAACCAAAAGGTCATGGTCCGTTTTTCTCAATCGATTTGGCACATACTATAGCTTTATATATAGATACGATTGGCATCGGTCAATATTTTGATTCATATGGATCGCCTGCACGATATCATCTAGAGCAGTGATTCCCAAAGTGGTCTATATCGACCCCTAGGGGTTTATGACAACCTGCAAGGGGTCTACTTCAGCGAAAAAAAAATTTGGGGGTCCATGAAATGAAAATGGGGGTCCACGATAGTGGATCTCATACACTGATAGTACCTATATACTTACATCATACTATCTTATAATATCAAACATATACATTATTTATAAAAGATTTATTGTTTATTTTATATTTATTTAATGTTACGTATATTTTACATAACAGATAAAAAAAATTATTTTGAGTAGTTTTAATTTAAATTCAATTGATAAATGTATAAATTAACATTTGTTATTACTTTAAGTTTTTAACACTAAACTTCACTACAGTTAGAAATTTACAGGAAATCAATATCCGGTAAGTAGGGGGTCTACCCAACACGGAAAAACATGGCAAGGGGTCTACGACACAAAAAAGTTTGGGGAACTCTGATCTAGAGTATTTAAAAAGGAATTGTAAAAGATGGAACTGGAATGTTGATAGGATTCAGAATGAGTGAACTTCAGTTTGTGTTGAGTATTAATTAATGTATTTGCTATATAAGTTTCAGGGATGTTCAATGCATAGTTTTACGAGCATATTTACAGGGAACACACTGTACAACGATACTTTAGTGGGTGAGATGTTTCGCTCCTATTTTATAGATAGTAGATAATCAATAACATTTTGGAAATAAAAATTTTAACAAAATTAAGGAATGTGTTTTATTGATGACCCGTGTGCTGTGCCCGCGACTTCGTTCACGTGGAATCAGAAATTTTGCTATTCTAAATGATGATGATTTATTTGTGAAGTAAACTGTCGCAAAAACTTTGAAATGCACTCTGAACTGATTACTCTGTATAAAACATTTAGTTAGTCCGTTAATCAGACAAACAAACGAACTAACAAATAAACGGACCCACAATCGAACCAAGAAACGAATAGGGCAAACTGTACGCTTGTGTTTTATTTTGTAAATAAACAACAAAATGACCGCAATAACGTAATCCCTAATTTGCTCCCGAATTTCCCTAGCCAATACTTGGTTTCCATACAACAAATAAGAGATTGCCCCAAATAATCAAGCACCGTCACCAATTATTGATATTAAATTTAAAAAAAATGAAAACTACAGTCCTATGCCTACTTTATACTAAATACCTACACTAAAAAAATAAATTAAATTGCGTAAGTATCTATATTTGGATCATTCTGCAAACAAATGAAAAATAAAACTAAGCTCAACCTAGGAAATAACAATAATTAATAATTTTTCCCTATTCCACTGACCTCTATATATACAAGTACGCTGGACTGGCTATAAACCGTGACATCTGAAGCGTTTTGATTTCCGCCATTTTGGCGCTGACATCAGAAGTGTACGTCCACGGAACTAATAATAGGGATAAGACAGTGTACCAAATTATATCGATAAAAATTCTATACCCTAATTATACCTAAATAAATAGAATGGACTCATCAAACCCTTCACAAGTCCATTGCTGAACATAAACCTCCCCAAGGAATGCCACAAAGCACGGTCCTGAGCTACCTGCATCCATCAACTTCCTGCGTGTCTTACGAGTTTTTGACTCCACCTAGTGGGGGAACGTCCTACACTTCATCTGCCGGTACGAGACTGCCACTCGAGAACCTTTTTTCCCTATCGGCATTCGGTTCTTCGAGCTATATGGCTGCTCAATTGCCACTTCAGCTTACTAATCCATAGGGCGATGTCGATCACTCTGGTTCTGCTGCAGATATCCTCATTCGTAAGTTTGAACTCCTGAGTATAGCCCCCTTCATAGCTCGCTGAGCAACTTCGAGCTTCCTCATACAGCCAGCATTGAAAGACCTCGTGTCAGATCCATAGGTCATCACTGGCAATACGCAATGGTTGTACAATCTAGTTTTGAGGTATTCATGTGATGTGTTGTAATCTCACGAACGCTGCCCAGCCCAGTTGAATCCGTCGATTGACCTGTCGAAGTTGAACTTACCTAGTCGGACTATTTGTCCCAAGTAAAAATACTCGTCAACAACTTCAGCTAAGTGCTCCCAAAAACCACCGGCTTTTAGGCCAATAGGTGTGACATGGACATTACACGTGACTTTTGTTTTGTCCATGTTCAACTTAAGACCTATCCGTTGGGAGACACGATTGAGGTCATTGAACATAGTGCGTAGGTCCTCCAGCGATTCTGCATGAAGGACTATATTGTCGGCAAAACGAAGGTGAGTGACGTACACGCCATTGACGTTAATATCGTATCCTTTTCAGTCCAGTAGCTTGAAAACGTCTTCCGATGCGGCGGTAAAGTATTTCGGGCATATTACGACACCCTATCTTACACATCTCTACCGTTGGACTAGTTTTTTACTCTGGTTCTGTACTCGGATAGCCATCGTAGCCCTTAGACGATTCAACTAAAAATTATTAAGAATAAACTAATCACACAAAATAAAAATAAAAACCTAATTTCTAAAATAATTTATTGTCAACTGTTCATTTAGTTCTAGTATTATAAAAAACAAATCAGCTGCTATAATAACGCCTATTCTAATCAACTACAGGTCTGTGTA